AAAAATCTGAGCAATGAGACACAACAAAAATCTAATGAGCATCTAGATTTTTGCAGCCCAAATATTGTAGCTGTACTTTGATCAAATGGTCCTGGGTCTTTCCAGACAGCGTGTTATTTCGTGGTGGTAGTGTTTTTTCATGTTCTGCTCTGGACTAGTTTTTTCATTCACATAAATAATATTCAGGTTCTTTGGCACAGATTTTGCCATGTCTTCCCCCCATCACCCTCAACACACACTTTTTGCATACCATACCGACAGGACTGACATCATTAAGGATGGAGGAGAAAAAGAAGGGAGGTAAAGAAATATCCCATTTATTCTGGATGAAGGAATTGTTCACAGAGAACTGTCTGAAATTAGGCAAAAGGAAAATATGGAATGTGAGAAGCGCTGTACTGCACTGCTAGGCAGCTGAAGAGATCTCTTTCATGCATACCGTTAAGGAACTTGATTTCTCAAAACTTCATGAGCCTCCCATATTCATTTCTTAATTAATACAGTCCAATAAGGATATATGGAACGTTAAAGTCCTTGCTGGATTTTTTTTTTTAAAAGTGCTTTTGCCCTGAGGGGTTTGCAGTTTTCAGTAGGCAATGAGGGAATGTCAGAATAAGAAGATTTATGGAGAGGAAAGGAGGAATGGATGCAAGGTGACTGTAGGTACATAGAGTTGGCTACTGCTTGGAGTGACATTTGGACATGGAACCAAAGACAATGTGGCAAAAGACAGATGTGATTTCGATGGTCAAGAAATTGCAGCAAGGTTCTTATTTTCACCTGAAGTCTGAATCTTAATACATGTCTGAGGATGGAGGGAGGAGGATGGAAAAGAGGCAAAAAAAGATAAAATCCTGTTCCTCCCTTCCGAACCATCCTACACATGTTCCTTGATCTTCCTGCTATTCCTGGTGACTGAAAGGGGGTCAAGGGAAAGGGAAGGGAAAGATGGCTTTGGTGAAGGTTGGGGATCACAGGCGAGGAACACTGGGGATTTTTCTGTAGCTCAGATTTTGAGAAGAATTCTAGAAGACTGCTGATTTTACTCACATGTCGCGGCTGAATTCATGCAACGTATTACGTCAGACTAAAAGAGGGTTGGCGAGTTGGTGAGTTAGTGGGTTGTGGGAACTCAATGGTAGCATGTTGTGTGAATCTAGACACCATGCTCAGGCATCCAATGATGCATTAGCTTGAGCACTGAATGTAACACAAGCTCAGTAATGGTTTTGTTAAAGCAGGGTGGGGTGATGGTTAAGAGACTGGGCTAGGACTGGAAAAGTGGTTTGCAAATCTAGGGGTAAAGTTGCTGGACTAAGACTGAGGCTACATCATGGATGCAGATGGAGAAAGGATATCCTGTTTTGGGGAGTGGGGTTGACTGACTGGTTGTTGGTTTTTCATTTGGGGGGTGAGCTTTTCTTTTTTATGTACTATGATACCCCTATTATAGGGCTCACACTACTATAGAGCATATACTAGGTTTTGATGCTCCTATTATAGGAAAGAGTCTATGTGGTATGGTGGTTAAGATTTTGGATTAGGACTAGGGAGACCCAGGTTCAAATCCCCCTTTCTCCATAAGACCTTGCGGGTTGACTTTGGCCTAGTCACTGCAACCTAGCTCACAGGCTCGTTGTCATGAGCTTATGAGGAAAGGATGTCATCACGTAGGCCATCTTGAGTTCTTGGAGAAGAAGTAGACTGTAGCTTACTGCTACGTGGACAGAGTTTGCTTCTCATACGCCTTTCCTAGAGTAATCTTGGATTTAGTAAACTTTCTACCATTAGGGTGCAGAAAAAAATTGGATAAGGTTTATATTGCTCTCACGATGGCTGGGGGTTTCTAGAAGGTGCCATAAGCCATGTGTGGGTTCTTTACACTTGCGTTTTTGGGGGGACAAGAAAAAAGAAGTAAAAAAGAAGATATCAAGCAATGAATTTGGGAGATGGAAGAGATGGAAGCTTAGTCCTCGCCCTTTTTCTAGGCAACAGCATGCCTCAGTTCTAATGCCTGTTTTACTGTGGTGGAAACTGCATTCTTTGATAAGTTACCTTTCTGCAGATCAAGGTGAGAGCCATTCCAGCAGGACAGTCAAATTTTCTGCTTTCCTTTTTTCTTAGAAATGGAGCAATGTGAGACATCTTTGGGGCTATCTTATGGGTGTAAATATTTGTTGAACGTTTGCTTTACATGCTTATGTGTCTAACCACTACTGCTGGCCAAACAACCGTAACGAAGCTATTACTTACCAGCATGGCGCCTGATAACTTCCTTTTTCTCAGGACAGAAGAATGACCAGGGGATGATGGAGCTGGTATCAACCAAGTGATGAAGCTCCATCAAGTAGGTGGCCAAGCACTGGCACCAGGCCAGCATTGGTGCAATAGGCATGGCCAGGGGATGAAAGGGGCAAATTCAGACAGCTGCTTGGGGGCTGCCTGGGACAACTGGACCAAAGAAGATGAGAGCTCATAAAGCTGCACTCTGCAAAAGGAAGCCCAAATCTTTGCTTATGACTTCTTTTGCAAAGGCCTTTTGTACATAAACTCCAGGCAACACATGCAGTGCTCCTTCCATTTATTTATTTATGTATCTATTTTGTTTATTTTTCCCCACAACAACCCTGTGAGGTTCTTGGCAAGAAGACAGAATGCTTTGAGATTAATTTTTACAGGATTTTTGACCGAGCCTACAGTCCTGGGATTTGATCTCTCATCCAAGTTTTAACCCTGGTCAGCTTTTTGAGATCAGCCAAATCTGTCCAGGCACTGCTTTGACTTATGTGTTGGTCAGATTAAAACCCACCTCTCCTCAGGAGCTCAAGACTGTGTACATAGCATTCCCTCCTCCTAGTTTTCCCCACAACAATTGGGTGAGGCAGGTTGGGCTGAAAAACAGGACAGGCCCAAAGTCCCTCAGCGAGGTTCCATAGCTGAGATTGGATTAGAACCTGGGTCTCCCCAACATTAGTCTCCCACCTAACCACTAAACCACACTGGCTCTCTGTTTGACCTCAGATTTGAATACATTTGGATAAAGAAGTATTTCCTGATAGTGTTTCTGTCAAGCTTAGTTAGAATCCTGCTCCTTCAACCAGCTCTTCATAATTTCCCAGTGAGCTTCCATGGGAGAAGGTCCTACACTGAGAGGGAAGGATTGCCCTGAAGTCATCTTATGAGCTTCCGTGGCTGAAGGGGGACTAGAACCTGGGTCTTCTTGCTCCCAGTCAAACAATTTAACCACTACACCACACTTTTCTAGGGGTTTGTGCACTGGAAATGTGGAAGGATGATGAAGATGAAGATGATTGATTATGAAGATGACGACGACGACGACGATGATGATGATGATGATGATGATGATGATGATGATGATGATGATGATAGGAAAAAGAAAACAGTCCCTTGGCCAAGAAAGTAGACAGTTTCTCAGCTAGGAGGGAGATCTTGGTCATGAATTCCCAAATGGAACTGCAGAACTGTCAAGAGCTGCTGTTGTGCGTTAAGCAAGTATTTGCTGGTTATCCATTTGGTCATGAACTCTGCATAACCTCATCCAACTGTAACAGATCAAGAATTGTACAGGGTACAGGGTAGGTATTCTGTTTTATTTCACAGAAGGTATATGCTCTTAAAGGAACCAGGGCGAATAGAAGTCAAAGGATTCAGTGAAGCTGAGAAGAACAAAGAAGGGAACATGTTTAAAGGGAAGTTCCTCGGAGCATGTGCAAAGTGTCTCTCCCTCCTAAGCAAGCACAGGTCTCCTCTATACCCATGGTCTCAGAACTTTTTTGATTGCACACCCTTGTCAGTAAAAACATTTTGAGCATGCACCTCCCATATATGTAGGCTTATTTATTTATAAATTATCCAGCTGTGTGTGTATGTGTGTGTGTGTGTGCGCCTTCAAGTCAGTGTTGACTCCTGGCAACTGCCTGGACAAGTCCCTGCAGTTTTCTTGACAACATTTTCAGAAGTGATGTGTCATTGCCTTCTTCCTAGGGCTGAGAGAGAGTGACTGGCCCAAAGTCACTCAGCTGGCTTCATGCCTAAGGCAGAATTAGAACTCACAGCCTCCCAGCTTCTAGCCTAATCCTTAACCTCTACACCTTATATAGTGTACAGTGGCTCTTATATAGCTGTACCACTGTTTGTCTTAAAACATATCTCTAAAAATATAGATTGTGTGTATTAAATATTAATATAGCTTAATGTCTGCCTTGTTTTTTAGATTAAAAAAATTAAAGTAAAGAGACATTCCAATATATTCTTTCTGCACCCCAATGAATCATTTTTGTGTGCATCCTGGGATATGTGCACCCCTATGTTAGAAACCGACATTCTACACATCCAGGATTATGAATAAACACTTCAACGTCTTAAGTCGTACATTTATTTACAATATACTTACTGGATGCATTCCCATAACCTGCTTATTGAATTCACCCATTTTCTGGGTTTATGATAATATATTGAAACATAAACAAGCCTAACAGAGTTTGTTCACACAACACAAAAAATCATGACAAAATCTAACCAAGATTCACACTAACTGAGCTTAACCCATTATGAGAATGCAACTTCTAATTCTTTCACTGACCTAGTTGACCATCTTGTAGGAACACAGATACCGTAAATTACAAACTAAGAGACAGAGCAAACGTGGCTTCAATAAACCATTGCATTTGAATCTAGTCAGATGTTTGGGGTAACAAGGGAGAACATTTCTGAAAGAGCCACCCAAACCTTCCAGAGAGACCAAAACTCATGGATCCACCAACGTGCACCACTGAGAGACATTGAACAAACTTAAGCTGATGAGCACAGACCAAGATGAATACAACATTAATCTTTCTTTGGGTATCTCCTGTCTCAAGTTGGCTGGAATCTTTACCATCGATTTTCAGGGATTCAGAAGGCCAAAAGAAGTTTAGAGCTGTACCCCTGGGCAGTCATGTTATCCTCCCCAAGTCTACCCACTGCCCTGTCTTACTTACATTTCCCAGAGTGCACCTGATGTTGGTGTAGAGGCAGCCCTGGTGCATTTTCACGGATATTGTGCATTTTCACAGAATGGTGCATTTCCACAGAATGGTGCATTTTCACAGAAATCTTTAGTAAAAGATGAAAGATGTATACAATTTGAAGAGAAGCCAGAGTTTTCTTCTTTTTTTAACATTTACAAACAATAATAAATAACAATACAGTGGAGACCTTAGCATTAAGCATTAAGCTTAAGGTAGAAACTCTTTCTATATCATAAAAGAATTTAATGCATTTTGCAATTGTCTATCCACACCACACTTAGCTTCAATTGCACATTCCAAGCCACCTTATGTTTATTAACATTCTGGAAATGCTATTTAACATCAACGTAAACTTTTTTCTCCTTATCTTTAAAGGTTTACCTCATCTAAATCGCCACAGGGTGAACAACGTCTAGTTGCTGTTGCATAAAGACCACGCTACCCAACTGACCTCTGCATTTTGTCATGTATTATCTGCCTCTTCTATCTTAATAAAACAATGATTTGGGGAAACAGCACCACCCAAAGAATGGTGCGTTTTCTTGTCACGGTCCATGGGAGGGAGCCTCAAAGCAGCCGTTTGCTCAGCCTTCTCCTGGAGATTGCCTTAAAAACAAAAATAGCCATCAATCTCCCCGTGAAATAGCTCCCTTGCTTTCCTCCAAACCTTTGCTGCTCATATTTTTGCAGATAAACCGGCCTCCGAGTCATGACTCTCCGGAAATGCCCATCCATTCGTATTCCATTATGACAGCTGTCAGAGCTGGGCGGTGTGCTAGGATCCCCCGGGGTGGAAGAGGCTTCCTTGTCTTCTCTGCGGGGTGCTTTTTATCCTTTTAAAGCCTACCTAGAGATGGGTGTGAGGTGGCTGACTTTCAGGAAGTGGCGGCAGCCCGGCCTGAAGCCAGCGAAGGATTAAACTTGTCAGCCAGTTATTTCCTGCGATGTTGGGGAAACGAACAAAAGGAAAAGCGCCTCATTAAAAGAGCTCCATAAAAAGGAAATTATTTCCTTTCTCCCATCTGCTGTCTTTCTTGTTCGTAAAATGGGAGGGAAGTTGCCTGGCTGAGCTGCCGTTATTGGGGTTGATTTTCATACACTCTATAGGGGCATTTAGAAAAAAAAATCTGTACGGCTAAAATGATTCTTCCTGTTGTTGTTCGATGTAGAAATTGGACTGCGATGGACAGGGAGGTTTAATCTGGTTAAAGGACATTTTAATCGCAGCAGGTCCATGTTCATGTGAAATTAACTGCATTACTCTTCACTCAGTAGGTTTATTTATTAAATTTATATCCTCCCTTTTTTTCCAAGAGCTGAAGGCAGCAATACTCTCCAGTTTTTGCTCACAACAATAACCCTGTGAGATAGGTTGGGCTGACAGAAAGAAAGAGGAAGGAAAATAGGGAAAGGGAAAGGGAAAGAGAAAGAGAAAGAGAAAGAGAAAGAGATTGGCCCACCATCATCCAGTACGCTTTTTGGCTGCAGGCAGACTTGAACCCAGGTTTGCTCAGGACTGGCATTTGAGGGTTTTAAATAAACATTTCTCCAACTCTTCCAACAGACTGTTTCCTTCTATGAAATTATGAATTTCAGGACCAAGGTGGAAATGCAGAGGGCTGGAGCGGCAAAGTCCAGCATTTATCAGGCCCCTTTCTTGAAACCACGTCATCCTATGGCACACAGGAACTGGGCTTCCTCAGCAGCAGCTTCTCCCCTTTGGAATGACCTCTCTGCCCCCCAGCTGACCCCGACATACAGCTGGCCCTGACCCCACAGGCCTTTAGGAAGGTGGTTAAGACCTGGCTCTTTCCCCAGAATAGATAGAGTCCTTTTTAGGAGTCGTCGTATACTTCAGCCACATTTGCCATTTATTCTCTACTTGGTTAAATGACATGTGTTCTTTTTCATATTTCTTGTTTTGACTTTCTTTCTTTTTATCCCTCCTCCTCCTCCTCCTCCTCCTC